CGCCGGACGGAAGGCCGGAGGGGACAATTCGCGCTGCGCGTTTGCTTCCCGCGAGCGCCCTCTGCTGGACGGGAGGGCGGAGAGCAGCCTAGACCGCGGGGCCGGGGAGGGACCAGGGAAGCGGGGACACGGCCACGGGAAGGAGCCAGAAACACGGACACAGCCACGGGAAGCGGACAAGGATGGGGATACGGCCAGGGGAAGCGGACAGGGATGGGGACCCAGCCACAAGAAGGGGACAGGGCCAGGGACATGGAAAGGGAACAAAGGAGAGGGAACCCACGGCCAAGAGCTCTTCCCCACGCTGGGCCTGACCCCTAATGCTGCAGGACTGGCCCAAGCCCTCCTATAGAGATACTAGGCGTGTCAGGGGCTGAATTTCCTTTTCCCCCGGCTCCACCTTCAAGTTCCCAAGCCCTCGCCCCGGCAGGCCCTCAGTGCACCCCAGGACGCAATAGGGTCCCCAGCCTGCGATGCTACAGACAGCCCTTTGCAGCCTCCAGCCCCAGGCCTGCCATGCCGTGACGGGTCCCCCGCTGCAAACGCTCTTTTGCCTCAGCCCATTCAACATTGCGTTTGAGAGATTTCTCATCCTTCCCCAAGGGAAGGAAGAAAAAGGATAAAAGACCACTTTATTTGCCATGTCAAGGAGAAATGTGGTTTCATACAACACCACAAGCTCAGAAAGAAGAAGGCCACAGGACAGAAGTGTCTCCTTGCAACGGGGACAAATGCAAGGAAAGGAATTAGGACAGGCCCTGCTCCCTCTCCCCTTGGATCACTCTGGCCAGCTGTTATTTGGGCTGGAGAATGGAGCAGGGAAGTCCCTTCACAGGCACATCCTCTGCAGCAGACTCTGCTGCAGGATCCCTGCACGCTGACTGAGCTGAGGGGTCCCTTCTGGCACCCAGCCCAGCTCTGCCAAAAGGCAGCAGCGATGCTCCAGGTGCAGGATCAGACCCGCAGCACCTGCAGAAGCAGAGCAGGACGCCCCATCTCCTTGTGCCCCTCATCAGCAGGGAGGATGCATCAAGCTGCTGGGCACGGTCACTTCTGTCCCTAAGCCAGTGTGAGCGCAAAGCAGCTCTAAGCGCCCTCCGCTTTGCTCTGCAGCTCGTAGAAGACCTCGTTCTGCTTCCTCTTGTCCTTGGCACGGATGATGGTCATCTTGAAAAGCTTGCAGTAGAGCTCCATGGCAGTGGGGCTGTCATCGTTCCCGGGGATGGGGTAGGTGATCAGGCAGGGGTTGCAGTTTGTGTCCACCACCCCCACCGTGGGGATGTTCATTTTGGCAGCATCCTGGATGGCCACGTGGGGTTGGAAGACGTTGTTGAGGCTGCTGAGGAAGATGACGAGGTCGGGCAGGCGGACGCCAGGCCCGAACTGGATGTGGGCATTGGTGAGCAGGCCGCCCTGCCAGTAGCGGGTGTGGGCGTACTCCCCGCACTCCCGGGCCGTGCTCTCTACCAGGTGGCCAAATTGGCGGTTGCGGCTGATGAAGAGGATGATGCCTTTGCGATAGGCGATGTGCGCCGTGAAGTTGAGAGCCAGCTGGAGGTGCTGCATGGTCTGATCCAAGTCGATGATGTCCTGACCGAGGCGGCAGCCGAAGATGTAGGGCTCCATGAACCTGCAGGGGCAGAGGGAGGGCGACACAAGGGGACGCAGGGACAGGGGCTACAGGCTTCAAGCAGCGTTTCTGAACGCAGCGTGCCCTCACAGAAACCTTCCCCCATCTCCAACCAGTACAGGGAAACGCTCCGAACAGACGCCGCAGTCCTTGGTGCCCAGTGTCTGCCCTGACTGTCCCAGGTGGGCTCAGAGGGGCTGCAGGTCTCACGGCACCTGCATCGCACTGGGGAACCAGCGCTTTTGCAGGGCAGTAACTGTGCCCAGGCAAAAACGTGGGTCTGTCCAGGCAGTGCCAGCCCTGGCCAGATCTAGAACGGCCAAGGGAAACACTTCTGACTTCAGCAAGCGCTGGACCACAAATGGGGTCACTCACCTATGCCGGCATCCCTTTTTGTGCCCCAAGTGCACTCGGGCATCGAAGAGATCTTTCAGGGAGAAGAGCTCCTTCACGTTGAAGAAGTCAGGGTGGCCAAGGGGCTCGGTTATCAGCCTGTCGTCCACATCTGAGAGGAGAAGGGAAAAAACTGACTGCTCCCTCCCAGTGTTTGCAGGGGATGAGATGGGACTGGAGAAAGTTTTGCTGCCTGTGTCACCATCCACAGCACTCTGTAAGCACGCACACCCCTGTCCCCGATGCACCCGTGACCAGGTGCATGCAATGAGGGCTAGCTCATTAGGGCCATACTAGCAATGCCACTGCTCATCTTGAGGCCCTGGGTACAGGCAGTGCCTGGCAATGCCATGGGGTGCAGAGTGGCAGCTGGGCGAAGCTGTGGGGTGCAGAGTGGCACCAAGGCAATGGCACGGGATGCAGCTGGGCGAAGCCGTCGGGTGCAGGGTGGCAGCGGGGCAATGTCATGGGGTGCAAGATGACAACTAGGTGATGCCATAGGTTGCACGGTGGCAGGTGGACAATGCCACAAGGTGCACA